TTTGGTAATTTAAGGATTCCAATGCCTTTTTTTCCAGACTTGAAAGTCCAATGCCAGATAAAATTTCTTTATTTTGATTTTTTATACTTGAAAATTTCTAAGAGTTAGGTTTAAGACTTTCTTTAAAGTTGAATCAAAATGAAAGGAAGCAAAAATGTAGCCAGGTGTGGTGATGCATGTCTGTAATACCAGCACTCAGGAGGCTGAGGCAGGAGGATCACTAAGAGTTCAAGGCTAGTCTGGGATACACAGTAAGTTCAAGGTCAGCCTGAACTACATAAGGAGATCTTGGCTGAGAGAGAGAGAAAGAGAGAGAGAGAGAGAGAGAGAGAGAGAGAGAGAGACAGACAGACAGACAGCAGAAGTTGAAGTAGTGAAATGTTCTTATGTGAACTGTAATACAACTAATATAAAGGATTTTTAATTAGTTCTTTTCTTCAGGGTAAACAGGAAATATTGAAGGTGCAATCACAGGTTTGTTCAGGAATGGCATGTCCTCGGGGCAGTTGACGGAATTTTTTTTGTGGTTGAAAATGAAAATAGTATTTCAATGCTGGGATTAGAAATAATCTGTCAGAGAAAACAAAATGACTAGTATGCTTCATCCTTTATCAGTCTGCGAGAGTTAAAATGATTTCCCTGAGTTATGAATCGATATTTTTAAAATGGAAACTTGGTAACTTTCTAAATCCTGGTGTTTCTGAAACCAGAACCTTCAGGAGCCATTTTAGAGACAGATGGTAATTTACACGCTCTGATTAATAGCAGTGCTGTGTCCTCAGTTTGCCACCTCATGGGTGGACTTCTTAAACAATTCCTCTGGGGCTTGTGCTCCTATTGCTAGCCTTCATCTTTTGTAGAACAAAATCCCTGGCCTTAAAATCTCCTGGGGCACCTAGTTTGAATTTTCTTACAGCACTGCACACAAATGTAGTTACTGAAGAAATAATGGCCTGGTCTGCTGTTTATGTGCAGCAGTGCCGGTACAGCAGTGTGTGTGACAGATGCTGCCTGCATTCAGCACAGATGCTTCATTAGAATTCCATTTTTATGACAGGAAGTGCAGATTCAGAGGGAATAAGAAGTTAGTAATTACCAGAAGACACTTCAGCTTTCTTCACATGGTGTGGTCATAGTTAAAACCTGGCTTCTTCCTTTTTTCCTTCATTGCTAATTTAGATTATTAGAAGAGTATGTAAGACCTATTTAATAATGAATACATTTGTTTTTTAAAATTAATAAATATAAGAATGATTTTAAGCCATGTTAAGCTGCAAATCTAGATCATAAACTTACACAGTCACATTTTGTCAGGATAGCCTTTTATTTTTTTCCTTGTGCTGGAGACCAAACCCAGGGCCTTGTATGTGCTAAGCATGCACGCCTTCACTGAGCTCAGCCGTCAGCCAAGCGTAGGCTTTTAATTGAGGTCCTGGGTATTTAAATTTCTTGGATTGAGGGAGGGATATCAAAAATACATTGGTCTCTAATAAGTTTCATTCTGTAGAAAATGTTACAGTGAGGTTTTCAGATACAGTGGGTAACTGACATTTCAACTGCTACATGAGGGCCTGCTGATTACAGGTTTGATTTGTGAAGTCTGCCAAATGACTCCCCCCTAAAACAACTTTGTATTTGTTTTTAAGCCACATACTGAGTATTGTTTCTTATCTTTGCAATGAAAGTTGCTGCCTGAATATTTTCATCTTCTGGAAAATTGTAGTCAGTTAAAAAAAAAAGCTCAGCTTTTTATTGAACTAAAGGGAAGGAAGGGAAGTCTAAGAATTGTCGTTTTGTGGAGAGACTTTTCATTCTTGAGATTTTTGTCTCAAATAGTTTGTCCGAAAGTTCATTGCTAACCTGAGTGAGTTAATAAGATATTTTAGCTTAATTCAAATTGTGATTAAATGACAGAATATTTTATATAGACTTTTCACATTAGTTTGGTTCACTTAGTAACAGTTCACTTCTTAAGTGGGTTAGCAGACTAACCATGAAAATTATTTTCAGTTTGGTTTTTAAATTCCATGTATATAGTTTTAAAGTAAGTATAGGACTTACCATTCCATTATGTTCAAATGAAAACTTCATCCTTACTTAGTCAAATGCTTCTTTGTTATCGGAAAATTACCTTTTTAGTACTGATAGGGGTTTCAGAAAGTGGCATTCTGGTTATTGAATTCATCAGGGAAATGTATAGGAATTGCAGTGAAACAGAATTGCAAGATATAGTAGGTTTTTTATTTTGTTTTTTTGAGATGGTATTTCTGTGCAGTCCAGGCTATCCTTAAACTCACTGTATAACACAGACTGTCCTTGAACTCAAGATCCTTTACACTTTGGCTTCTTGAGCGTTAGGGTTAAGGCATTCTACCAGGTCTCGTTTAGATATTTTAAAGTAGGTTGGAGAATAATAGGAAACTGCGTAGGGGAGGTGACGTTTTAGCTGGGCTTGTACGTTTTAATGGCCCTTTCACTGGCGAGTATTGCTTGTATTCATCTTTTTGTCTGGAAAAGTCATAGGTGGAAAAGTCATAGGTATGTGGCATAGTTTGGTGACTGAATTTGGAATGCAGGGTACCAAAACTGGTGGGAAACGTCAGGAAAATATGTGTAAATTTAGTTTTTGGTGTCTTATTAAGGAGGTAAAGCTGTCTATCAGCCTGGAGAGTCTAAACAACTTTTGCTCCTTCCTTTCTCTTTTGTTAACAGTACTGAGGACTGAACCTAGCAGGTTCTACCACTGAACTACATTCCCTGCCATTTGTATTTTCATTTTTAATTGTTTTATTTTAAAGAGAGAAAAAAACAAAAAACCCACCACCAATAGCCATACAGGATTTCAAGACAAGAGATAGGAATTTACAGTGGTTGTTACATTAGCATCTTGTTGTCTTCAAAAGAATTACTCAGATTACCAGATACAGGCATGCAAAATGTATCAAGCAGTATAAGCATTATTTCTTTCCTGGAACTAATAGAATTAGTAATACAATTGTCTGAGATACTGTGTGTGTGTGTTTTGTGTGTGTGTATATATATATATATATATATATATATATATGTGTGTGTATGTGTGTATACATATACACACACATTATACACACACATATATATGGTACATATATTTTTTTCCTTTTCTTTACCTTCTTTTCTCCTTTTACCCATATTTTTCTTTTTGAGACAAGATTTTGCTAAGTTGTCCAGATTGGCCTTAAACTTGCCATCTTCTTGTGTAGCTGATACTGACAGGCATGTGCCTTCATCTCTGGCTTATCCTCTTAAAACATTTAGGATTTGAACTTGGTACTTATGTATATGGCTAATACATAGCACTGAAAGACTGAAGTGGTCATTTAGCATGGAGGATTAGGTATTAGGTAGGTAGTGATGCCATTAACAAAGGTGAGCTTTGGAGGTGGAAGTATAAGGTAGGCAGATGACTCAAGTTTTGGGCATGATTGAAAGTGGTTTGACTATTTTGTGCTGTTGAGCATCTTTGGAAATTGAGGTTAAAATTGGAGTTGAACTTTACTGTGTGTGAGCCTGTATTGTTTTGCTTGGTGTTTTGGTTATTGTCTATCTGCTTTGTTTCATTTTGTTAGATTATGGTTGTTACACCTTGTTATCTTAATCTGTTGGCTGAATTCTGTATATCTTGAATTCTCTTTTAGGAATGCAAAAATAATGATTGTAGAAAAAGACGTTATTAAGATCTTCATTTGTCTTAAAATTTTTAATGGCAGAATACCGTAGAATGTGACAAGTGGAATTTGTTGGATGAAACTGAATCCAGAGAAGTTGTTTTATTGTTGCCAAGAAATATTTTATTGTTGGTTTCTCAGAATTATTCCTTTAGTCTTCTGTTGGATTATTTTTCACTTATTGTGATCATATGACCTGCTAATCTCCTTGAGTTTTGTAAAATTCTCCCAGTTTTAATTCTGGTAACATACCACACTGGTGTTGGCAGTTTTAACACACGTAGAAAATTTACAAGACCTTAGAGACATTCTTACAAAATTTTTCTTATGAAGTAATGCTACATAGACAGTACGTGTTAGAGAAGAATAGTACTCTATATAATTCTGACACTTTCATAATTTTTCACCTTTGACAATAAAGAAGTAAATTATTTTATATTTTTGTAATAAAATATATTAGCATTGAGTAAACAGGTTTGGAAATGTTTGCCTTGGTTTTTCTTTTTATATTTCGGTAGGTATAGTAGGGAGCATTTAAATGTTGTCAACATCTATTACGAATGATTTTTTTTCTTTTTTTTTGTACTGAGGATTGAACTCAGGACCTTGTGTTTGCTGGGCAGGTACTTGTGCTACTGAGCTAAATCCCTGGCCCTTCCATTATAAGTGTTATCAGCCCAAATTACAATATATAAATTACAAGTGTTTATATTTGCATGTTTCTCATAATAATTATTGACCTCAGAATTTGAGATTCTTTCTGATTACCGTTGGCATTTTACATATGTAATATAGGTGGTAAAAATCCCAGCATTTTCAAAAGTCAATTTGGAAGGAATGTTTGTAAGATTTGAAGATGCTTGCAGTGAGCATGCTGTGCTATGCATGCAGTTTGCGTTTGACTTCTTTAGCAGTTACTGAGTGACTAGTAGGATAATCTATAGCAGCATTCATTAGGGGCGCCAGGAGTGTACCCACAGTGGTGTTTTACTAGATGACAGTGTTATATCTTTATTACAGAGGATCTGTGAAGTTCTCTTAAAACTTTTAACATGTCTTAAAAAAATATAAAATTATAGGGGCTGGGGATTTAGCTCAGCGGCATAAGCGCCTGCCCTGCAAGCAGGCGGTCATGAGTTTGATCCCCGGTACTGATAAAAAGGAAAAAGACCAAAAAAAAAAAAAAAAATTATAAAGTAATGGAGGAATAGAGGAAATCACGAAGAGAACAGATTTATATATAGATTTAAGGTATTACTGCTGCCTTTTACACAATTAACTTCATCTTTCTTGTAGTCCAAGTGGTAAGAAGTTCAGAAGCAAACCTCAGTTGGCAAGGTACCTGGGAAATACTGTTGACCTCAGCAGTTTTGACTTCAGAACTGGAAAGATGATGCCTAGTAAATTGCAGAAGAACAAACAGAGACTTCGCAATGATTCTCTCAATCAAAATAAGGTTGGTTAATTTACTTACATGTATACATATATACCTATGCTACATATATACCATATATAAGCTGTTTCAGAAACTCTCCAAAAACTATCTCATGTTTAACTTTGTTACTGAAATTTTGTCTGTACAGATGCCCTCCTTCCCGAGCAACACTTTGTGGCTTACAAATCTGTTTTCTCATATTTGGCAGTACTTGCACAGAGAGCCATAAATAATTTTGTACATTAGAAAACATTTCAGTATCTCTTTAGGCCAGTATACATCATACTTTTTGACCCATTGTATCATTTTACAGAAGATTTGTTAGTATTAATTGTTCACTTAAAAAAAAATAGTTCCTGTTACCTAAAAAGAGGCAAAATTTTAATGTAGCAGGAATCTTTACCGGTAGTTTAGACTTACCTATAGTAATTTGCATGTTTAGAAGTTGAGCAAGAGCAGTTTTTTATTTTGATTTTTGATATTGTTGAAGGTACAGACTCATAATATTCTCATCCTAATAGTGTAATAAGAGACTTTTTCACCAGTACTCTCCTCTCCCCACATACCGGGGGACTTAATCTCCAGTTCTTTTTTAATTCTGAGATATTGTAATGCTTAGTTGTTAACACTGCCAGGCAATTTAACCTCCTGCTTAGCCTCGTAGAGTGCTGTGGTTACAGGCATGTGCCACCACGCCCAGCTTCTATTAGCTTCTGATGTTATTGGGCTGTTTGGTTGGTAATTTATCATATATCATTTTAAACAATTCTCATTTGAATTATGATAATCATTTAATTGCATTAAAATAGCCAGTGTCTTTACAAAGCACACTTCTTTTCCTCTAAGGACAGCTAAGCTTCTGTAATCCACAAGTGACTCATTGACTTGCACAGTCCTTCCAAGATTGCTAAGGAGAGTATTTCCATCTGTATGGAGCTAGGAGTTGAGGTTGAAGTCATCACTGCAGGTATCTGAGTCAACTATTTAAATTTTAGAAACCTGTGTGTGTCTGTGTTGCAGCAACCATTGTCTCACACTAATGCTATGAAAATAAAAAATGGGAAAGTAGAGACTTTTTTTTCCCCCCTTGAGATACGACTTCCCTCCTTGCTGTAACTCAGCATGACCTTTGGAAGTGCTGTATTCATTTTAGGAACCCGGAAGCAGTTTAGTACAATAGGAAGGGCTTTGGACTCTCACAGGCATGGTTTAGCGAACTGGCTTTGCTGCTTGTTAGCTGATACAGTAATTGATTTATTTTTTTGGTACAGGGAATCAAACTCAGGTCCTTGTGCTTGCCAAACAGGCGCTTATGCCATTGAACTATATCCCTGGCCCAGTCATAGGAATTTTAGATCTTTTTATTTGTAAAATTAAGGTAATACATCTTTTTCTATTAACACTATTGTGAAGAATAAATGAAGATTTATACCTAGCAAAGCATTTGATTTGTGTTCTATTCCTTTCCCCTGCTTTAAGCTGCCATGTACCTGAGCACTAGTAAACAGTGTTGCATACAGACTCTTGTAGGGAAATTTCTGACCTGAGCTATCTTCCTTCTTGTCCTTTTGCTTTTTCTAAAGGATGTGGGGCAGTGATGCTGAGCCTTTCAGAGCTTTCAGTGGTAACAAATGGCCTGCTGCAGCGTGCGTGCCATAGGTTTGCTACCACTGGTATAGAGTCTTTGGTTCGTGCTTGCTTTTATCCACCTTACTAGTGTGTTTTACAAAATTAATTTCTGAAGATTGGTGTGGAGATCAGAAAGCACTATCCTCTCACATCATAATATTGTATCGTATATTAATTTCCACTGGGGCATTCTCAGATACCTTGCTCTGAAAGGCCAAGTAGAAAGGGAAAGCAGATTTGCACTGTTTAACTATGAAATTAGTTTGGGCTAATATGAAAAAGGTAGGAAAGCTAAGAGTGGAGGGATTTCAAGTTAGCAAAAGTTAGGATCCTGTATGTGTAGGTGATTTCACCTTAAGGAAACTTATGCTACGATTGTTTTGCTTAAGTGTGTAGAGGAAAATTGATGCTTTTTCTAAAACTTTAAAACAAAAACCAAAACTATCCATAGTGCTCAAGTACCTATAGAAGTGGCTACGATATTTATGAAATGAATTCTTTGAAATTACTCTATTGTAAATAGAATCACAGTGTTGTTAAAATTATCTAGTATAATATGAGATTTACTTCCTGACAGTTTTATTAAAAATCAAATACTAATTCGTCTCTTTAGTTTGTGTGCATCTTTCTGCTTTAGCTGCGCTGGACCACTCATCATCCTGCACGAAAGCATGCACTTCCAAGATTCTGCTTGCTCATATGCTGTTTGCTCTGCTTGGAATGCGCTTCCCCCTTCCCTTCCGTTTGGTGAACTCCTCCTCCTCCACGGCCCAGCTCCGTTGTCTTCATCCCTGGAAATCCTGCCCTGCATTCTCCAGGCAGAACCAGTTCCTTCTTGCTTCCCTGATGCTTTGCTGTTGTATTTGTGGCTGCTTGCTTTAGTTAGACTGTGAGCTCCGTGAGGGCAGGGACCTTGCCTTTTTTGTTTTTGTATATGTAGTCCAAAGCCTAGCCACACGGTAGGTACTTAATAAATGTTTTTTGATGTTTATTTATTTAATATCAGTCTCATTCTTTAAAGTTCTTAGTGATAATAAATGTTTATTAAATAAATTAATATTAAATAAATTAACATTCTTTTGGAAATGGCTTTTTCATTTTTTCCTCAAACTTTCTATGTCAATTTTGTGGGGGCATGGTCTTATTTTTTATAATTTTAATATAGTAAAATAATCACAGGATAGAGTTTTTAAAATATTTTAAAATAAGCTCTGTGGAGTTACACTAACCTTAAATATTGCTATGAAACAAAATATACTTATATAATAATTATTTTTTATGTTAATACAGTATAAAGGAAACTGGGATATTTAAAGTAATTACTAGAAATCTGAGAAGTGTTTTCTTAGGTAGTTGTAAGCATAGCTAACACATTATTAACTGGTGTTTTTGAGGGTTTGTTTTGTTTTCTTCTCTTAATATCTCTTAAAACAATTACAGTTGGAATCCACAAAATAAACTTTGAAATAGGCTAAATTGTGGTTTGTATTGACTGATTATGAGTTGTGATCTTAATGTATCTTCCATCTCAAAGGCTTATTTACTGGTGATTATTTTAAGATATGATTGGAAAGATAGTTTTTAAAGATCTTTACAAAGTGGATTTAATGATTGAGTGGATAGGGTGCTGTGGGCCTTTTGATTAATATTTACTACAGTTTTTTAGTATAAAATTCTGCTTGTCTCACACTTAACCTGAAAGTTGATTTTATTTTTGATTGCATTTTTTTATGTTTTATTTAATTTATTCCCACTGGTATAATTATTTGAATTTCTATCTTTTTGACTTGGAATAGTAAGTAAGTTATTGAAACTTATGTTTGCTTAACGAAAAATTACAGAGATTTGAAGTCATTAACTCTTGATATTTAGAAGTCACAAGATACTGTCTCACAGAAGTTATAGTTCAGCAGATCCAATGGATTGTTGTGTGATAAATATCTTTAAGCCACAACTCCAGTACTCTTTAGAACTTGAATCATAGTTAATGTGATAATTTCTCAATTTTTAGTTTTCTTTAATATAAATAGCCATATCATGTACCTAGTGGCTATCATATCAGACACAGCACAGTTATAGAGGTTCCCTCTCTATAAATAAGTAGAAACCTATGCTTCAAAAGCTAAATATTGATTAGACTTTTAGGTAAGCTTTGACTTTTCAAAGAAGAGATGCTTGAAAGTTTTAAGGTTATGACAACATGTTAAAGAAATAGTAGTGGCAAGATAATAATTGTTTCTAAGAAAATTTAATTGGAGGGGCTGGGGATTTAGCTCAGCGGCATAAGACCCTGCCTTGCAAGCAGGCAGTTGTGAGTTCGATTCCTGGTACTGATAAAAAGGAAAAAGACAAAAAAAAATTTAATTGGAGATTAGACAAAGAATAGTACAGTGGTTCTGGATGTAAAATGTTTTTAGAGAATTTCAAATAGCTTGGGTTAATACAGACTTTTAACTTACTGCAGTATTTTGTTCAGGAAACTGACTTAAGCAGTCCCTTGGAAGATTGGGCTCAGATAGGGGAAAGGGAAGTACAAAGAAGGAGATGGAGAGAGGACTATTCAATTAAAATAATTCTGCTTTCTTAGACTTCCTTACAAGGCTCTTGTGTATCTCCAAGGATTTAGAATTCTTGTGCTAATGATTTATCATTGCGATTATCCACTGTAGGGACTAACAGAAGAAAAATATTCTGTTACACTGTAAGCATGCAGATGAACAGAATGAATATTACAGAGAATGAGAATGACCTTCAGATAGGTGACAGGAAAATCAAGAGAAAGTAGTATTATAGAAACTTAGGAAAGACTTTTTAATATTTTTTATGGTAAAGAGAATAAAACCAAGCAAAATAAAACAATAAAGTGAATCAAAACAAAGCAGTATGACATAGAGTTTTAAAATATGATAATAGGAGATCAACAATGGCCACCCTAGTGCCTCTTGTTGTCATTTTCAAAATAGCTGCCTATACCACCAGACACAGATAAATCAAACGGCAGAATAGATTACAACCAATAAAGACGCAGTAATGAACACAATACAGGACTTCAAAACATGATAGTAGTAAATCCAAAATAGCTACCGTAATATAGTTATGTTTGAAATAGCTACCTGTGCTATCAGATATAATAAAATCAAACGTGACAAAAAAATAAAGACAATGAAAATGATACAGGAATTTAAAGCGAGATAATAGGGAATTAGTAATGGCTACAACCTTCAGAACGAGGTCCTAACGTATTATGTATTGTTATCCGCTAAATAGGGATTGGAGACTAGCTTTAGGCCTGAGAAATCAATGAAATACTAAATAAGCATTAAATGATTTTTATTAAATGCTATAGACTGTGTATCTGTGGGGTTTTGAAATTAGAACAGAGGGCTGGGGATATAGATCACCAGCACAGTGCCTACCAGGCAAGTGCAAGATTCTGAGTTGGAACCCTGGCACTAAAAAAAAAAAATTCAAATTGACATTAGAAGATGTATGGTAACCTTTATATAACCAGTTTGGAAAAGAATGGTAAGGATTGGAAATCATACTTTAAAAGTCGTTTTCTGGGAAATGAGAATAGAAATGAAATATGCCAGGTCTTGTAGAAGTCTTTAAAATTTTGATTTAGTATTTAATGAGGTAATGTAGGCAAATAATAAAAAGGCTATTCTATGAAAAATATCTCTGTCTGAATGCTCTTAGCTCCTGTCTTGTTCTGTAGAAGAAACTGTTGGAAAATGATGTTTTTTGTTTGGTATATTAGAGCTGTGTAATTAGAAACATACATTTGCACTTTTTTACCCCTCTTCCATGAAAACAATAGACTATTCTTAGAAACCTTGAACAAGTGGTGGGAGAGAAGATAATATTCAGAGGAAACAATATTTTTGTTATTTTTCCCTTAGAGGCATGAAAGACCAACTTAGAAAAAAACCAGCAGAGGTTTTTGTAACCTAGGAACCCTTCTTTGAATTCTGTGTAGTATTTTTTTGTGTGTATTTTTCTAAAAGTTTATCTTCATCAAATTCTCTGGGTTGGAAAACTTGATAATCAGTGTTTTTGAAGCAAGAAGTAGTAAGATTCACAGTGAATGTGAGCGAGTAGGTTAAGTTCCAGGCCATTTGCTTCTGCTCGAGTTTTGCCTTGGACTATCAATTTTTGGATTATTGAATTAGCACCCTAGTGGGATGGCTTGTATCTGTCTGGATACCATGGGCAGTTCACTCGCACTAAAGAGCTTTGACATACGAAAATTCTATTAGGCATCTTGTGGTAAGAACTGCTTCTTGGCTTCTACCTTCTGAGGAGTCTTTCCAGATTGGAGTAAAAATATCTCATTTCTGCTGGAGATGTAGTTCAGTGGCATAAGGGCCTGCCTTGTAAGTGTGTGGTTGCGAGTTCGATCCCCAGTACCAAAAACAAAAACAAAAACAAAACAAAACCAGAACAAAAGCAAAACAGAAAAATACCTCAGTTCTTCCACCAGTATTCTTAGTCTATCCAGAAAGTAACTGAAATCTTTCCCAGAGATACTGCTGCCCTCATTGTCATTGTACTCAGACCTTTCTGAATTGAGTGTCTTCTCGTCACTGTGGTGTCACTCGTCTTCTGCAGGTACTGTTGGAGGTGGAAAAAGGGTGATAAATCTAGCATTGTTTCAGTGTGAGCCGGCATTGAATACAGGTTTGTTATTTTGACATGGGATCAACAAAAGTGGAAAGAGAAAGGTAGTTTTACCCAGTGAGGAATAATGGGGCTAGACGTGGGCTGGAGTAGAAGTAGACTGATTATAGATCTTTGAAAATTAAATTAGGATTTGCTAAGGAATTAGGTGTGCTGTATGACAGGAAGAGAGGACTCAAAGGTGAGCTTTGCTACTGAGATTGAGCAGCAGGGAAGGTTCGGATGGAGAAGAGTACCCAGATACCGGAAAGAATTGAGAAACAAGTCCTTAGAAAAATCAGTTGATGTGAAATTGGTTAAAGTAAGAGTCAACAGTAGATTGAGAAAAATGGCTAGTAAGGCAAGAGAGATGTGGAATAGAGATTTCAAAAAAGAGTGGTGTGTTAGAGAAAACTGAACTTTGAATATGGCAACAGAAATTTTAAAATAATCTCAACAGCAGTTTTAGTGGGAACAGGAGCCAGATTTGATTCAGTTCAAAATGGAGAGAGAAAACTGGTCGTTGTGAACAATTCTTTAAATTTTTTTGAGTAGTGTAGAGAATCACTAGGTGGTATATAAAAATGCCACTTTGGTTAAATCTTCTGTTTCAAGGATTGCAACTAGAGTTGCATATAGCACAACTGGGAAACGGAGGTCAAGAAAGCTATGTGTTTGCACAGTGAGAAAATAGGAAGGTCAATGGATAGGAGATGGACATGGCAGTGTGGGAATGTGAGCTTCAGGAAAGAACTGGAAATTTGAGAGTTAGATGTTTCACTGCCATACTGGAGATGATGTAGTTACTAGTATTGACAAGCTTCTGGCTGTAGCTAAGTGAGATTGGGAAAAGGATTAGGTCAAAAGACTTAAGATGTTGGTGAATTATGGTTTGTATCTGGATGTTCCCCCAAAGTTTCATGTGCTCAGAGGTGGAACTTCTGGAATTTTGGTTTGGAAAAAACAACTGATACATGCATTATAGGGAATTTGGAGCTGATTAGCTGTTAAAGAGAGGAGCTGGTCAGAAGAGGCAGCTCGGGAAGGTGTGACTTGGTGGCTTTCTGGATGCTGTGAGGTGAACAGCTTTCCTCTACCAGACCCTTCTACCATGCCTCCCTGGGTTGGAACTGGCCAACTGTGGACTAAACACAAGCCAAAATAAATATGTCCTTTAAGTCGTGGATGTTGGGTGTTTGTCCCAGGACGAGAAAGTGACTAAGACAACAACGAGTTATCTGTATGAGTATTGGGGTCTCCAGGCATGAGGACAGCCAGTGAACAAATCTAGTTTTGTTGTCCTAATTTTGTATTGTCAGACTGCTGAGCTTTAAATTATTTAATAATGATGTTCCATCTTTTGCCTAATTTGGGTAATGTAAAAGCTAATGATTGGATAAAGTGCTAGAAACTAAAAAGTAAATAGA